AGACACAGACACAGACACAGACACAGACACAGACACAGACACAGACACAGACACAGACACAGACACAGACACAGACACAGACACAGACACAGACACAGACACAGACACAGACACAGACACAGACACAGACACAGACACAGACACAGACACAGACACAGACACAGACACAGACACAGACACAGACACAGACACAGACACAGACACAGACACAGACACAGACACAGACACAGACACAGACACAGACACAGACACAGACACAGACACAGACACAGACACAGACACAGACACAGACACAGACACAGACACAGACACAGACACAGACACAGACACAGACACAGACACAGACACAGACACAGACACAGACACAGACACAGACACAGACACAGACACAGACACAGACACAGACACAGACACAGACACAGACACAGACACAGACACAGACACAGACACAGACACAGACACAGACACAGACACAGACACAGACACAGACACAGACACAGACACAGACACAGACACAGACACAGACACAGACACAGACACAGACACAGACACAGACACAGACACAGACACAGACACAGACACAGACACAGACACAGACACAGACACAGACACAGACACAGACACAGACACAGACACAGACACAGACACAGACACAGACACAGACACAGACACAGACACAGACACAGACACAGACACAGACACAGACACAGACACAGACACAGACACAGACACAGACACAGACACAGACACAGACACAGACACAGACACAGACACAGACACAGACACAGACACAGACACAGACACAGACACAGACACAGACACAGACACAGACACAGACACAGACACAGACACAGACACAGACACAGACACAGACACAGACACAGACACAGACACAGACACAGACACAGACACAGACACAGACACAGACACAGACACAGACACAGACACAGACACAGACACAGACACAGACACAGACACAGACACAGACACAGACACAGACACAGACACAGACACAGACACAGACACAGACACAGACACAGACACAGACACAGACACAGACACAGACACAGACACAGACACAGACACAGACACAGACACAGACACAGACACAGACACAGACACAGACACAGACACAGACACAGACACAGACACAGACACAGACACAGACACAGACACAGACACAGACACAGACACAGACACAGACACAGACACAGACACAGACACAGACACAGACACAGACACAGACACAGACACAGACACAGACACAGACACAGACACAGACACAGACACAGACACAGACACAGACACAGACACAGACACAGACACAGACACAGACACAGACACAGACACAGACACAGACACAGACACAGACACAGACACAGACACAGACACAGACACAGACACAGACACAGACACAGACACAGACACAGACACAGACACAGACACAGACACAGACACAGACACAGACACAGACACAGACACAGACACAGACACAGACACAGACACAGACACAGACACAGACACAGACACAGACACAGACACAGACACAGACACAGACACAGACACAGACACAGACACAGACACAGACACAGACACAGACACAGACACAGACACAGACACAGACACAGACACAGACACAGACACAGACACAGACACAGACACAGACACAGACACAGACACAGACACAGACACAGACACAGACACAGACACAGACACAGACACAGACACAGACACAGACACAGACACAGACACAGACACAGACACAGACACAGACACAGACACAGACACAGACACAGACACAGACACAGACACAGACACAGACACAGACACAGACACAGACACAGACACAGACACAGACACAGACACAGACACAGACACAGACACAGACACAGACACAGACACAGACACAGACACAGACACAGACACAGACACAGACACAGACACAGACACAGACACAGACACAGACACAGACACAGACACAGACACAGACACAGACACAGACACAGACACAGACACAGACACAGACACAGACACAGACACAGACACAGACACAGACACAGACACAGACACAGACACAGACACAGACACAGACACAGACACAGACACAGACACAGACACAGACACAGACACAGACACAGACACAGACACAGACACAGACACAGACACAGACACAGACACAGACACAGACACAGACACAGACACAGACACAGACACAGACACAGACACAGACACAGACACAGACACAGACACAGACACAGACACAGACACAGACACAGACACAGACACAGACACAGACACAGACACAGACACAGACACAGACACAGACACAGACACAGACACAGACACAGACACAGACACAGACACAGACACAGACACAGACACAGACACAGACACAGACACAGACACAGACACAGACACAGACACAGACACAGACACAGACACAGACACAGACACAGACACAGACACAGACACAGACACAGACACAGACACAGACACAGACACAGACACAGACACAGACACAGACACAGACACAGACACAGACACAGACACAGACACAGACACAGACACAGACACAGACACAGACACAGACACAGACACAGACACAGACACAGACACAGACACAGACACAGACACAGACACAGACACAGACACAGACACAGACACAGACACAGACACAGACACAGACACAGACACAGACACAGACACAGACACAGACACAGACACAGACACAGACACAGACACAGACACAGACACAGACACAGACACAGACACAGACACAGACACAGACACAGACACAGACACAGACACAGACACAGACACAGACACAGACACAGACACAGACACAGACACAGACACAGACACAGACACAGACACAGACACAGACACAGACACAGACACAGACACAGACACAGACACAGACACAGACACAGACACAGACACAGACACAGACACAGACACAGACACAGACACAGACACAGACACAGACACAGACACAGACACAGACACAGACACAGACACAGACACAGACACAGACACAGACACAGACACAGACACAGACACAGACACAGACACAGACACAGACACAGACACAGACACAGACACAGACACAGACACAGACACAGACACAGACACAGACACAGACACAGACACAGACACAGACACAGACACAGACACAGACACAGACACAGACACAGACACAGACACAGACACAGACACAGACACAGACACAGACACAGACACAGACACAGACACAGACACAGACACAGACACAGACACAGACACAGACACAGACACAGACACAGACACAGACACAGACACAGACACAGACACAGACACAGACACAGACACAGACACAGACACAGACACAGACACAGACACAGACACAGACACAGACACAGACACAGACACAGACACAGACACAGACACAGACACAGACACAGACACAGACACAGACACAGACACAGACACAGACACAGACACAGACACAGACACAGACACAGACACAGACACAGACACAGACACAGACACAGACACAGACACAGACACAGACACAGACACAGACACAGACACAGACACAGACACAGACACAGACACAGACACAGACACAGACACAGACACAGACACAGACACAGACACAGACACAGACACAGACACAGACACAGACACAGACACAGACACAGACACAGACACAGACACAGACACAGACACAGACACAGACACAGACACAGACACAGACACAGACACAGACACAGACACAGACACAGACACAGACACAGACACAGACACAGACACAGACACAGACACAGACACAGACACAGACACAGACACAGACACAGACACAGACACAGACACACACACACCCACCTCAAAACGTAAAAATCCGTCGAAAACTCGAGGTCGAAAAAATCATGATTCCTATACTTTCCTTATATCTGTATACAGATAGGAAAGTAAAAATAATTCTAATCAAAAATTGCGTCTTATTAGTTTTCGATACTCACGCGTCGATTCCTCATAGAATAATCATGCTCGAAGTGACAAATTATGATATAATATTTAAAATGATACAAAAAAATGCTTATTAATGAATCGAGTGACATTGACTATTTAATTATTTTATTCATCTTTTGAAAATGGTAATTTTGTATAAATATATTAACTCTGAATGAACGTGTTTCAATTTGACCTTCACCTATCGTATTATTTAAATTTCTAACAAAATCTGCATGGTCTTAAATCTTTTTTTACTTTCCTGTCTGTGCACAGAAGAAATATATAGAAATCGTGATTTTTTTTGACTGTTTTTGGTTTTGGGGTCCCTGAATCCGTTTTGTCCATGATTGTGAAAAAAATTTTAATAAAAGTGGGTGGGTTATATTTAAAAAAGTTCTAACTCAAAAATGAATATTAACTTGAATTTTTTGGAAAAAATCAAGCTCAATAAGGGGATGAAGCCTATTGATTCTGAAAAAAAAAAAAAAAAAGGCGAAAACCCTAGTTTATTAAAAGTGTCCAAGATCTTGTTGACAAGTTAAATTTCATGTAGGGAAGAGCTTTGTTTCCATCCATAACCTTTAAAACTATTACAGATTTATTAAAAGAAGAAGTTGATATAGTTGAAAAACTCAACAAAACACAAAAAAATGATAAAGATAAGGACAGTTTCAAAAAAAGCTAGGGTTGGAACTTTCTGCACTCAAGAAGTCCAGAATATTCATAAAGGATAGATCCAATAAATATTAGTAACTTAAATTTGAATTAAATATTGATAAAAAAAAAGGATTGGGTGCAAATCATAATGTAGAGTGCCAACATTAAAGTATTTTACTCTATTTCCTTACCGCCTTAGGTGTATTTTCATATTCTTATTCCATGCATTTCGTTGTTAAGGCATGATGATGGCTATTATGCTGAAACGGGTTGCTAATTTTTTTATACAAATATTATTTTGCGGTATTTATTAAGTATTTATTTATTTCATTATTGTTTCAACATTTTAGAGTTCAAGCTAACTACGCCTTGTGGAGGGCAGCATCTGATTCTGTGCCTTATCTAACCGAACGACTTAGAAAGAGACAATTAGAATTTACAGCAGTTATTACGGGACAGACAGAAGAAGTTGCCAGATGGAAGGAGTGCATTAGCATTACCTCAGGAAGGTAAGAATTATAATACATTATGGAACTTTTAATAAGGACTGAAATTAGTACTACCGAAACTGTATTTACTAATTTTAAACATCAAAATATTATTAGTATGTTCATAGCTTCTGGTGCTCTCTATGTCAGAAAATACTTCAACGAACAAGCTAGAAGGAACGTGCAAGAAATGGTGAATGACATTCGATTACAGTTCGAAGATATTCTTAAAGTAGTAGATTGGATGGACGATAAAACCAGAATGATCGCTTTGGATAAGGCCAAATCTATAGCAACGCATATTGCATACCCAGATGAGTTGTTGGATGATAAAAAGTTGACTGAATTCTATGATGGAGTAAGTAAAATGAATTTATCATTCGTATTAATTCATAGAGAAAAAAATGTTTAAATTGTAATTATTGAATTTGGTTTTCTTTTCATTTTTAGTTGGAAGTTAGTTCGGAAAAATACATTAAGTCTGTTTTGAATCTCGAATTATTCAGTACAAGATTTGCATACAAACGTTTGAGAGAACCTGTAAACAAAACTGACTGGATCGCTCATAGTCAAGCTGCTGTCGTCAACGCTTTCTATTCCACGAGCGAAAACAGTATTGGTGAGTATCAAAAATTAGTTTTTTCCGGGAATTTCTATGGGTACCTATATGACTTTTTTATAACGTGTTTTACCTGAAAAGTAAAAAATAATGGATCGTCTGGATTTAGGAAAATATCTGAAAACCTTAAGTATGCTTTCTCTTTCCTTAGAATAAATAATTGTTCTATTCGCAATAAAGTTTTATTATTAAATTTGTTTCGTTTTGGTTTTTCTGTTTCCATATTTTCATTAAAAAAGTTAAAATTATTAATTTAATATAAGAATCATACAAAGGAGTATACAACAATTGGTATATTGAAAATTGCAGTCATAGTTTTATTAATATTATTATTTATTTTCTCGAATATCGCGTAACTATTTTTAGCTACGGTTAATGTTTCTGGTATTACAAGTTCATCTAAATGTATCTCATTTATTAGAATTTCACCTTTCTCAATATTGACAGGAAGTGATTTTAATAGCCTTTCTATAGGTCCTACTGAAAATTATATTTTAATATCTAAAGGTTGTCTAAATTCTATAAAAATAATAACTTGATCGCTAATTAATCTATTATTAGTAAAATCAATATTTAAATTCATTTTTATTAAATCCTATAATTCCATCAAAAAACCCGTGAAATTCGTATAATATAAAGTTAATATTATAATTATCATATTTAATTTCTCGGAAAGCCGGTATCTCCGCTTGAAACCTAATATGCTTGCTCACAAGTGCTGTGTTAATGTCTACATTGGAATGAAAATGCAGTTTGGATAAACATTTTTCCCTACTGATGGTCTGATAATAGATTTTGCACTACCTGTATCGATTAGTAGTTTATTTTGGTTAAATAATTTCAATGTATGGTAGGGGATTAGTTAATGAAATATTTATTTCGACTTGGTCTGATTTGTGCTTGAGGCTCGATGTTGAAAATTTTTATTTTTAAAATTATTTGTATCCTACTCTACAGGGTTAGTCAAATTTTCAAATTTATTTTCAGATTCGTTTGTATAATATTGATTTTATAATTCCTCATAATGATGATTATCATTAGAATAAATATTCAGCTACAAAATTCGGTTTTTGACCATCATTTTCTTAATATCCGTTATTAATATATCTATTATTGGGCCTGTTGTTTGGAACAAAAGATCTAGTATCAAATGAAGGATTTCTAGAGGTCATAGACATTCGCTTCGGTTTTGGCAATCGATTTTGTGGTATTTGATTAGGTTTGAAAACATTACGTGTAGGTCCAAATACTTGAGCGTTAGTTGGATAGTTTTAAGGTGGCTGATGCTGTGGTGTTATATTAATTGACTGACTAGGAAAGACCTGGTTTTTGATTGTTAGGTTGAGATTAATTTTAATTTTATATATTTAAATTTGAATATTATGTGTTTTATTGTGGTTAAAAATGATTTTTGTCCTAGTTGCAATATTTTGTGATTTAAATTGATTAAGTCTAGGAAATTATTTTTTTCTCTCTTTTAATTGAAATTACCGTAAAAACTTATGCCGGTTTTTTGAGATGCATGTTGTTTCTTAGGACTTTAGTTGAGCCTGCCATAAATGTATTGGGAGCCATCTTTTCACAATGATTAATTTGACATAACTTGTCGTCTCTTGTTAAAGTAACGTCATTACTGATTCGGTCAACAAAGTTACTTAATAATTGGAGACGAGTACCAAAATATCTTATGTTATAAGGCCTAATAAGTAGTAAATTATTGACTGTATGCATAATAACATATATTGTTTTATTCATATTTTAATTACACATATAGATATATTATATAAGTAAATCCTAATCGATTTTATCGTCTGACTGTGGCTCTTCATCGAAACCATGTTTACTCCTTATTTGCAGGGTGATATATGGTAAGACCTCGTTCAAGAAACGCTTCAAATTTGGAGTAACCATCTTCTCACAGAATGTATCGAAGTCCAGCTCACATGCAGTATATTCGCAGCTAAGACTGCTACCTTTACTGTATTTCTCATACCATTCATTCTGTAATACTACGGATTCCGGGAACGGCCATGTCAGCATCATAGTTGATTGAGTGTAAAGCATCCATCGCTAGTGCATCCAGATCCTTTCCAAGTCTGCTTATTTTTGATTCTTAGTCGATGGCTTTTAGCCAGTGCTCTTTAGAATACATCATCCACATATTGAAATAATCAGAATCAATATATGGCTAATATTAAAGGGACAAAAATCGGTCAAGTTATACTTACAATAAAATTGTAGAAATTCTTGATGGAATAATGTGTATACTATATGTAATTAAAAGTAAAAAAATATTTACAATAACTCTACCACAGATGAATGAATTGATTGCTGGCTAAATCGAACCTTATATGAGCTCTAGTAGTTGAGCCATAATACGGTATTTCCTCTAAATAGACCAATGCATATTGGCCGGCAGCAGCATTAATCGTAGCAATGATTTCAGATAGCATTATTTCAAAAATGCGTCTCGGCAACCAACACTGGAAAAGCTCAAGTGTAAGCCGATCAATTAAATGAATGAGTAAACATTTACCATATCTAGTATCTTTGACAAATATCGTCTTAATAATATAAAGTTGACCTACATTTAATGACTTTAGTTCCCGCTGACACAATATTGTAGACCATTCGCCAACTAACATATTTAGCGCATCTATCTGAGATTGAGCCATGGTAGAACACAAACAAATATTTTCTTTACCTGTATAACACACATAATACTACACTTGATTATTATTTAGAACTTCTTAAGACTCTTAAAGCTGACCATTTTAATTTGATTTCAAACTGATTTCATTTGGAACGGGGCACTACTATATATCTATAAAAATCCCCACCTCTACTATGATCCCCTCCCCTATTCATAATATACAAGCTTGAGAGGCGTTTGCTAATTGTGTGAAGAATGCGGTAGTATTCCTTCCACCGATGTTAACGTCGCGCATGTCTGCTGCAGACTTGCGCTTCACTATAGCTATGACGGTTGAGAGTCAAGTATGTGTTTAGGTATGCCCTGGCGTATTTCCCCTATGTTACAATAGTAATCACCGAGATGTACTTATACTTAACTCATTACACTACATGATATACATAGTAATTACTATCGACGAGGTTCTAACTATGCTCGTTACACGCTACCCGATATACATAGTAAATACTCGAGGTACTTACATCTATATGTGTATGAAGTAATTACACTCATTACAACATGCAATTACACTCAATTCACCGTGCAATTAAGCTCATTAGGAGGTACTTGCTAATTGCACGAAGGGTAAGGGTGGGTACTTAGAATAAAATTACTAATTACCTCTTATTGCCTTCAGTCCAGAACTGACCAATCACAACTACTTTATTAGATTAGTAAAACTATAACTTTATCTAAATTTACAACAACTGCCAGTCTGATTATTGTTCCGACTTATTCTAAAGAGCTAGGTAATACAGTGAACTGTGATTTTGCCTCCTAAATGCAGATGGCGTTACCATTTCTGCTTATGACTCGCGTAACGGGGACAATACTAATCATTTGTAATTGTTGTGGTGGGAGGTGTTTGTGTGAATGGGTCTTGTTTGTTTTCATTTACGCCGTGACTAGCAGTAGTATTTTATAAACCTTAGAAGAAAATTTCACATACATGAACAACTAATAATAATGCCCTGACAACAAGAAGACGAAGTAATTTTTTAGCCTGATGAAATATAAAATAATTTAGTAATATGTGAATATATTTCTATGCCTAGGAGTTAAACTGCACTATGTGATTCTAGTCAACTTTTTAGTACAGCAGATTGAGTGTTGTTAAATTATTAAATTGCAACTAGATATGCATTTAGACACCCTTTTATTGTCACAATATAACAACATAACTAATAAAACTACTTTATTTTAATTTGCATTAGTTGTTGTATGTCGACATAGTGCAGTTTACCTCCGAGGTAGTTCTATAAAATGGAATGTATGGGTTGATATTTTAAGAATATTAGTACTTATCATTTTATTTTTTAAACTGCTAAATATAATGTAAAAAAATGACAAGCAAGACGAGTAGTAAACTTTTTGTAACATTTAACTATAAATTTTATTTATTTACCTTGCGAAACTATGACTCTTTTCGTAGGTTCTTAATGGGGAAATACTGCTGGGAATGCATTTGCAAATAATCGTTTTCTTGTTCCTGACTGATAAACGAATTGTACTACAATGTTATGGCAAGGTAAATTCCTATTTCACCCTAAATGTTTCATACATACCTCACTGGATCTTTCATAACAGTGAACAATCCTTCTTTGTCACCTGTTCTTGAGGTATATCCACGATAAATACAAGTATATCCTCCTCCTCTTTGACGCTTTGAACATAATCTTAATACGTACAATAGACTTAAATTAACACTCCACAATTAAAAACAGTAACAAAAACAAAAAAAACATTAAATAAAAGTTAACAGAATATTCGCTAAAAACAACCAAAAATCCAAAGCGATAAATAAAGATAAGACCATTGATAAGGCAACGTAAGGATACGTCATATGTATTATTTTTGATATACAAAAGTGGGACCGGTAGGCGTGGCCTTTGCCCTCACTAAAATGGCGGAAGAGCAGAACCGGATTTACAAGTTTTTATTGTACTATTTCTGGTTAAGTATTATTATTTGAATTATAAAAAAATTATTTTCCTTTTTATTGACATTGACTTAAAAGGTGGTGGAAGGCCGAGGTTATAAAAGAAGGGAATTTAAAAGCTTAAATATGCCCGGTTTTCAGCCAAGAGGTGCTGAATAAAGTAAATGAAAGAAATAAAATATAACTGATTTAATTATCACTCAATTGACTATTAAGCGCTGGAGAATATATTACTTGCAAAATTGCAACTAATCAATGACCATGATATAACTAACTTGGGGCCGATTCCACCATTGGGTTTAACGAAGTTTAAAATGACATTTTTACACAAAATGTAATTTTAATCTTCAATTAATAGTTTAAACTTTA